GAAAATATGTCATTTGACTTAAAAAGCAGTCTGGGAACCTAAACATCGCCCACATCTGTGCAGCTCCAGTGTCTTGGAGCCAGTCCTAAAGCCTGCAGGCAGGAAGGCAGGCAGTTGTCTGTCTTTGCTTCCCAGGCAGCAGCAGTGATGCTGCGTAAACCCACCCACAGTGAGATGGTCCATTTTCTTTTATGATGTTTGTAGTTAAGAGCTCCGGTTCCCTGGTGATGTGTGTCCTATAAAACATTTTTAAAAAAAGCCATTAAATAAAGGAGGCACCGTCACCACTCTTGAAAAACAAAACAAACCAGAAAAAAAAATGCACACCAGAAGGAAGCAAAGTTGGGCTGCCTTTCCAGGCTCGGGACACTACTTCTGCAGGTGCAAATGTTTATGACCATCTATTTGTGAGCACAGTTGGAGCTGTGGAACAGAGTTACCACCCTGACATTATCTGCACAAACTCGATCCCTCAATTAAATCTGGGGTTTGTGGCCTTTGAACGTCAGCTGCCCCACTTTCCCAGCCAGCGAGGTGCTCGAGAAAGCAAAGCAGGTGTAAGAACAGACTTTTGCCTGCTTTTGATAATGCCCCCCTAGCTTTTCTTCCTGCTTTTCTCTGCCACCACAACCTCAAGCCCCGCTGCTGGCGCTCCAGCTGTGCTCTCCAGCTGTGCTCTCACCCCCCATGTGGACGCTGGCAGTGGCAGCAGCTCTCCCAGCTCTCCCCATGGCAGACCTGTGCAGCAGCTGGGCTGTTGCGTGCCTCTGTGCGTAGGCACCATCATAGTTAGGAAAAGGGAATAAAAAGCATTACAGTTAGTATCCAGACACAGTATGCTTTCAGTAGGTGAGACTCCATGCTGTCCTGAAGAAATAGGTCCAGAACTGCTTGTCTGCTTGCTGCGTACTCTTCCTTAGTCTCCCTTAAATTTGCCTGGAAAATCCCCATAGTGGGGCAGCGTGGCCAGGCTGTGGAAGAGAAGAGCAGAGCTTTGGGACCCTCCACCCATGACCCTTGCTGTCGGAAATCCAGGCAGGCTACAGGCTATGAAAACATGCAGCTTTTGCTCCAAAAAGACTTGATATGACTCAGAATCATAGAATGGTTAGAGTTGAAAGGGACCTTAAAGATCACGGAGTTCCACTCCCCCTGCCCTGGGCAGGGACACCTCCCACTACAGCAGGTTGCTCAAAGCCCCATCCAGCCTGGTCTTGGTGGTGATTAGACTCATCCGGTGATTAGACGAGGGAGAGGAATCCCAGGGCAGATTTGCTCCTGCTGTGCGGGGTTATGCAAGCCGTAGGTGGGCTGCTCCTCCTGCCTTTCCCACAGACCCCTTGGTGGCTGCCTTTCAAGAGGAGAAAAGCCACCAGCAGCGAGACCTGGGGCAGCCTCCCCCAGGGAGACAGGCAGCACGGGCAGAGCCCAGCTGCCCTGAAGGCCCTTAGTGAAACTCTGTAGTAGTGCGATTCATTTTAAATCAACAGTGCAACTCCAGAGAAACCTCCACAGCAGTTTTTTTCATAAACCAGACACAACTGGCGTAGTTTCTTTAATACGTTTCACTTGTAAAGAACCAAAACGCCATAATTAAAAGACATAACTTATTTTATTGTCTTTGGCCCTGACTGGGTTAGAACATTTCTCAACACAGATGATGCCAAGGGAATTTAGGACCCTCGATTTGAAGTTAGCAAGAGCTTTGAGCCTCAAGGAGCTGCTGATCTTATCGGGCTGGCTTGGCCACCCCTTCTTTGCCAGACCTTTCTTCAGACACATACAGACAATTCAAGGCAAAGAAGTGTCTGCAATGCCTCAAAACTGGCTTTGCTGTGTCACCCCGAGCTGCTATTGCATAAGAAGAAATAACAGGGACAGCCAGCAAGGTTCAGAGCTGGTAGCAAGATCAGAGCTGCCAGCCTGGACCAGCCGCCACCAGTGGGACTCGGGCCAGGAGCAACATGTGAATGCCCTGGAAAGTCAACCAGCTGCCAAAAGCTTTCAAAGGCTCAGGGACCTTTGTGTGTGGGGAGTGAGCGTGAGGGAAGCACAAGATAATCCCGCTGATCAACCATGGGAAACTGCACGAAAAGCTTGAGAATCTCTGAAATTCGGGAAATTTTTTTAAGGTCTGCCAGAGTTATTCAGTAACAGCTGTGATTGCCTTTGAAAGCCAGATCCAAAGTCCAGCAAAAAGCTAAACAGAATTAAAAAATCCATACCAAATAATAAAAAATAAAATCCATACCCGTAAAAGTGTGACTACATTTCTATAGCTCTCTGATCAGACAAGGAGGCGGAGCTTGTTCTTGTCCTGTAGGACACACAACTCCCATGTGTCCTACAGGAAAGCAATCTGCAGGGAATTTTATTGTTTTCATTTTTTCAGAGACGCAACTTATTAAAAAATACACCAATGACCCCAAAAAGTTGTTTATTAAGTGGAAGGACTTGTTTGCGGAGCAGAAGTGGAAGGGCTGGGAGACAGCCAAATGGAGAGAGTCATTCTCCAAATGAAGAGAGCAACGGGTGAGATGGGGAAGCCTGGGTCTCGTGCAAACCAAGCAGCTACACCTCCCGACACACGGGCAGGTGAGCACGAGCGTGTCCCAGGGAGGGCTGCAGCTGGACACCCCCACCCTCCCTCAACGTTGAGTCCTTCCAGCAGACCAGCACTGATGAATGCCCTCAGTTGCTCTATGAGGGTATTGAGACCCATTCTCCTGTTCTCTTCCTGCCACTGACAATGGCTGGATGGGGTCAAAGACGTGGTTTGACCCCCCGAAGACAGGGTTTGGGCCGGACAGTTCTTTGGCCTGGCTCAGCATGTCAATCCTTGCTTTAAAGAGACCTCCTCATCTTGTAATTCACAAAATAGCTTCTGAAGACTGTTGTGGAGAAGATAAGCAAGGATTTCCTAGGGCTTCTCAAGGCAATGTGTAATTAGATCTAAACCTGTGCCTGAAAGTTCTTTCTCTTGCAGTAACTCAGATGAAATCCTTACTCTCATTCAAGGCGCCACATCCAGACAGTGGTACATTCTCCTCGTTTAGGAGACACAAAAAGAAGACTTTGCTGAAGTTAGGTTGCTCTTTGATCTTTCCAAGGCTGCAGCAGAAGAAACCACCCGTCACAGCAGTGTGGAGGCTCTTGGCAGTGTCACAATGTGGGCAGGATCTATAATGGGGAACCTGCTATATGGGTCACACCAAACACTCTTGGATGGAAAGGCTGTAATGGGGGATTAAAACCACCACAGCCTCACCTTGTCAGGACCACAAGCTCTATCCTGCATCACAGAATCAAACATGGTGAATGCTGACGAGTTTAAATGGGATATTAAACCTGACCCTGCTTAGAAGGAGCGGCTGGCCAAATATGACCCTAGCAATAGAACTGTAGACCCAGGAGCCCATGAACCAAGGCATGCACCTCTCAATTTGTACCACAGGCTCAACTGTGGCCAACTCACAGGAGCAGTGGGAAGATGCAGTGCTCTCTTTGTTTGTGTCCCTCCCAGGAAAGCAGAGTAGGGTACAACAAAGGTGATGTGCATGTCACCTATTGTCTGCCATCTCAAAGACTCCAACCTCTATTTGGCTGCAATTCCTGCTACACATGGTATTTTTTTGTTTTACAAGCTATTTCTGGAAATACCAACCTGTCATTTCAGGAGAGGAGAAATGCACCCCGCTCCCCCCATGTCTCCAGCAAATAGTATTCTGATTTACTGTGACCAGAAAGCTACTGAGCCAAATGCTCCTGGCAAAGGCATGCAGCCAGTCCTGGAAAGGTGGGGCTTTGGACATGAGGTTGTTAGTGCCAGAAAGGGCACACTGAACCCACTGACGAGATACAGGCATCAACCCTTCAGAGCAGCCCAGTAATTTTCCAGATCATATTGAAAACAGCACTAGAGAACAATGATCACACTGCTTTTATTGCTGCACCAATGGGTCAGGAGGACACTGGGCTGCTCCCAAGGCACTGATGGTGGCCACATTACTTGTGTCAGGTTTGACATGGATGAATCTACAGTTTTGGTGCTTTGCTTCGCTGGTGTCTGGCTGGATGCATGAAATCAGGTTACAAAAAAATGCTGTAGGTGCTGCAAATACCCCACAGCACTTAGCCTGGTCTTGTCTCAGAGGAAATGCTATTTTATTTAAACACATCATCATTCATAGTGCTTAGATAATGAAAGCAGGATTAAAAGAAAAAGCTCCATGTCTGAATGCACCAGTGCTTTAGGCAACAGGAGAAAAATATTTCAAGGATGGAAGATATAAACGTGCAAAAAAAAGTCCCCTTTTTTGTACAGCTAATGCTTGTAGCCAGCCTTAGCTATTTATGTTCAGGCCCAAGGTTGTCCATAGCCCCTGAGTCTCTTGAGCAGCTGGTGGAGGAGGGCCCTTGGGCAGCCCGACCTTTCACTGACACAGGGGCTGCGCTTTGTCTCAAATACTCCCTTTTCTCAATGCTTTTTTTTTTTTTTTTTTTTTTTTTGTGGAAGGGTGGAAAAAAAAAAAAAAAAAAAAAAAAAAAAAAAAAAAAAAGTTCTAGGAAAAATATTAAACCCTTTTTTTTTTTTTTTTTTTTTTTTTTTTAGTGGCAAGGCTGGCCTTTTCCATCTGTTACTTGCTGGAGGCAATAGCAGAACAGATTTCTTTCTTTCACCTCAAAACCAAAGATTTTGGCAAAATAGTTGACCATTCTCCAGCAGCCCTTACAGCTGAGTGTTTGGTACAACATACAACAACCATACAACAGCTGATAAATGTTGCATATGAGTAAAAGTGACTTTGTAGTGCCACAGTACTGCCCAGGTCTCTGCTAATGAGGGTGATGCTTAGATGCGCTAATAGGGGCTGGATGCCTCCATACCCTGCTGGCCTGGGCTTACTCTACTACTGTGTCATTATTATTTTCTTATTCAAGAATATTTTTGCTTTTCACCTTATTCCTCTTAGCATTTCCATCTCTGTGTCCTTCTGCAGGAAAGGAGCCAGAGGCAACTTCGGAGCTGCTGCTGCTCAATCTGTGTCCAGGACTCCCTCGCGCAAGAGCAGTTTCTATACGTGTCTCTGCTACGGGACTGAGATGTGCCTACTGGGAATGGGGGCCAGTGCCAGTCCCCTTGGCTCCATGACCCGCTTTGGGACTGGGGATACGTCATATGGTCAGCTGTCACCCCAACGGTAATGGGATAAAGGTGCAAGAGACCCAAGAAGAACTTGTCCAAGGGGCTTGCCCAGGTGCTGCCATGTGGCAAACAAGTTACCCATTACTGAAACATTCAGAGCCCAAAAGTGGAAATAGTAAGTTTTCTGTGTGAACTAAGGTGTAATAATCCTGCAAAATCAATGTCTTCTAAAGGCTTGACAGCTCAGGTCCAGCATGGAGTGCCTCTGCAGCCGATTTATTCACTTGGGAAACTGGAAGCAAGGTGGGGGGAAGCACCATGAAGACACGCTGTTAAGGAGGAATTTGGGTGCCTGCAGCTGCTGCAGGCTCCCCGGGGGGCAAATACCCGTTACTCCACCTATTTGGCTTTGCCTGTACGTGAAGGATGTCTCCTCCTAGCCATGGCCACCTAATGTTACCGGGGGGAGGAAGGAGCTGTACCGGTGGTGCAGAACTATCGCGTAGCTGGGGGGAGTCCATCCGAGCCCATGAGCTATGCGGCTGGTGAAGCCAGGGGTCCTGTGTTGTGGTGGGACTGTCCTGAGTCCAATGCGGGATCAATGTCCATAATGCTTCTTCAGTGCATAGGGTATTTGAGGGTAGAAGTGCCTGGCAGTGAGGTGGAAGCATCTCCATGACTTTGGGAGGAGAGAGGTTTCTACCTCTACGCAGTCTCCTGTGTTCCTTAAAGCCATTTTTCGGTTTGGAGATGTATCTCCCCAGAAATAACAAAAAAAAAGAAAGAAGGTCTTTAAAAAGTAGCCACTATTCAAAAGTTGCAGGGGTGAATTGACAGACAGAGCATGGTTGCTGGAGCTTTGTTTCCTTTGGAAACCAGGCTAAAAATATCCCATTCCTGGCTGACAGCTTCCTCACAAGCAGCAGCACGCAGTGGGAATGCAGGGCATCTCCTCTGCAGCCTGTCTTTTGGCTAATCTGTGCAACAATGCCCACTGGATTGAAGCTGAGGAATCACAGAATCATAGAATGGTTTGGGTTGTAAGGGACCTTGAGGAACATCCAGCCCCACCCCCTGCCCTGGGCAGGGACACCTCCCACCAGACCAGGTTTCTCCAAGCCCCCTCCAACCTGGCCTTGACCCCCTCCAGGGATGGGGCAGCCACAGCTTCTCGGGGCAACCTGGGCCAGGCTCTCACCCCCCTCACACCAGACAAGTTCTTCCCCACATCTCAGCTCCATCTCCCCTCTTTCAGTGTCAAACCCTTCCCCTTCCTCCTCGGACTCCCCTCCCTGATCCAGAGTCCCTCCCCATCTCTCCTGGAGCCCCTTGAGGGACTGGAAGGGGCTCTAAGGTCTCCCTGGAGCCTTCTCTTTTCCAGGCTGAACCCCCCCAACTCTCTCAGCCCCCCCTCCCAGCAGAGGGGCTCCAGCCCTCCCAGCATCTCTGTGACCTCCTCTGGCCCCGCTCCAACAGCTCCATGTCCTTCTGCTGTTGGTGGCCCCAGAGCTGGAGGCAGCCCTGGGGGGGTGTGTCTCCCCAGAGCGGAGCAGAGGGGCAGAATCCCCCCCTGGCCCTGCTGGCCACGGGGCTGGGGATGCAGCCCAGGGTGTGGGGGCTTTCTGGTCTGCCAGCTCACATTGCTGGGGTGTGTGGAGCTTCTGATCCACCAACACCCCCAAGTCCTTCTTCTCAGGGCTGCTCTTCAGCCATTCTCCCCCCAGCCTGGATTTGTGCTTGAGACTGCCCTGACCCGTTTTATCTTTCAAAGCCTGTCACTGACTCTATTTGTTCAAGCAATAGCCAAGCCGTGCTTTGATACTTGGCACCTGATTTTTGCACTGAGAAAGTCCAGGTGATGCCATTCCTTGTGGTGATGCCATTCTGGCAGCTTTGGGACTGCTGTGAGATACATGTGATACCCACAGAGCTCCCTTCCAACACCTCTGTTGCTTGTACCATACTACTTTTCACCATATAAAGCCTCAGGCTTCCAATGTGATCACCTTGCTGATCCTGGCCACTTATGATTCTTCCATGACAAAGGTTTTAAAGAGATGTGGGCACGCTTTTAGGCTAGCTGCCTGCAGGTGTGCAGCCTAGGACATGTTTCAATGCTGCTGCAAACAATCAGCAGTTTTAAAGAAAAATTAACTTATCAGGCCAGTTCTTGTCAAATCTTCTCATCTGGTGAATGAAATATGTTTACTTTATTGCTTTAAAAAAAAATATATAAAAGAATACACCTCTGGACTTAGTTGAGCATGGGCTTCTCCGTGTAAGAGGTGTGCACTTCTTCCAGGTACTGGAGAGCTGTGTTGCAGGGATGGTGTGAGAGCCAGGTGCCCAGCATCCAGGCGAGGGGCTCCACCAGGGTTCAGCTGGGGAGTCTCCGTGGCAGAGAGAAAAGAAACAGAGGAATAGAATTCAGGGGTCTGTGCTCTGCAGCTTACTGTGAGCTGCTTACAGCGGGGTGGAAGTGAGCATGAGGCACCTCAGAAATGCTTTTTGGGGGCTCTGTCAACTCCAGACTACAAGGGGAGATGGGGAACTGAGAGCAGGCATGGAAAGTAGGTCTAGCTTCACGTGTGCTCTTGGGCTCACACTGGACACGAGACAAGCTTCCAAAAGACCCATATCTGACTCCTGTCCCCAATACTGATTTAAGAAGAAAAGTTCACGCATGCTGAGAAGTCAAAAGCCTCAAGGTAAGGAACTAAGCTCCAATTTGCAGCAAGAGATCTAATACTGTGGGTGAAAAGGGCCGGTCATGCCAAGCGGTGGGAATAATGTGGGAGTTGCTGTGTCCGGTCTCCAGATGGAGGCTGGATAACACCAGGGTGCAGGCAGGTTGAAGCCCGAAGGGAGCAGCAAGCTGTTCTCTTGTGTGTTGCTTTTAGAGAAACAACCAGGCTGTGTCTGGCAGAGTGACAAGGAATGACAAGGCTCCTTCTTTAATGACTCATTTCAGAAGAACAGCTTTGGTAAGCAACAATTTTGCACTTCGCTGTGATTTCAGAGGGTGTGAACTAAAAAAAAAAAAAAAAAGAAAAAAAAAAGAATGAATTGAGCCTGTCTGAGAACAGAGCCCACAGGGGTGCAGGCTCAGCCTGATGCTGCAAGCCAGGAGGGGGACATGCTGCTGCCCGTGTGCCACAGGGAAGGCCAGCACATGCAGAAATGGAAGTGCCTGCAGCAAAAGGTTGGCTCCATAACATGTTGTCAAAGCGGTGGCTGGGATTTCAGCGTGGCTGTAAGGATGTCCTCTCACCTGCTATGTGACTCATCCTGGTGATCTCATTCAGTAAAACTAGGAGGGTGCTACCAGCCTGGCTGGGCTGAAGGGCAGGGCTACAGCTGCACTGGGAGATGCTGACCTGAAAAGGTGATGCTGCTCGCGAAAATGTGCAGTATGAGCTTCACAGCATTCGGTTGTGGACTTCGAATCGGGCTGGGAGGGAGCCCCTGTTTGGGGTACCAAGGTGGAGAAGTAGAAACTTCCATTGTTTCCACCCTTCCCAGGTAATCATGTTTCATTAACCTGCAGTGCTCTGATTGAAGCCACAAGAGCTTCAGAACAGGATCTCATGGGCCTCTCTGCATGTCATTGCCTTCCACCTCTACTGGGAATATCCCCAGCATCACCACCTTATTTTCTGGTGCTGTAAAAAGCATCTGTACAGTGAGTGATCACTGAGAACAAAAGAATGAAAGATTGCCGTGGGAAGCACTGGCATTCCGGTTTTTTTTCAAAGAAAGACTGTTTTCTTTCTACTTCCACCTTGGAAGCAAGCGATTTTGAGGCCCAAGAAAGTACCATCAACCTTTTTGTTTGCTCCCTCCATACATTGTTTATCAGCCTTCTCTGAGCAGTTCAGGAGCTGAAGACTAGCTTCGGGAAGGGTAGCTGAGGCTGCAGCCTGGGCTGCTGCTGCCCTCTCCTGGGTCCGAGGCAGCCAAAAAGCCAACAGCTGATTTTTTTTTTTTTTTTTTTTTTTTGTGT